TGTTGTATCGTGTACATTTATGTATTTTCTTATCAGATATTGTATTCTATCCGGAATGTTTTAATAAACACAGACGTTTTAATTGGTGCGTTACAAACCAAATTCAAAAGGTGTGCGACTTCTGCATAAACTCTCCAGTACAATCAGTTCACACTCAGTTCCACACCCTACCAAAAAATATCCCAAAGGCCGTGATTGGTTAGTTATTACTAATTTATTGTGCAAATTACTAATTTTACATGCAAATCGGGACGCTAAATCGGGACGCCCCCTTGCTAGTGCCGGTTGTGAATTCCCAATAGTCGGTTCACCGGTCGAGAGGGCATCCCTACTACTAGGTTTTAGCAGCTACTCTTCATCCGTGATTGACTGAGACCTCGACAGGTAGACAGGTTAAGGACAAAGACTCAGAGGCTCGTGCGTTTTGATAGCTGTACGTTTACTTGTGTGATGGTAGCTAGATAGAGATGGTACGTTTTCTTGTATGTTGGTAGGTAGGTAGCTAGGTACGTTTACTTGTGTTTTTGTGGGTATGTATTACTTGTGTATCTTTAGGTAGGTATAAATACTTCTGTGTTAGTAGGTATGTAGTCTGGCGAGTGGATGTTGCCATCTACTGTACAGGACATACATGTCCATCCGTGTGCTTCACGACATGAAATTGCGTGTTATGTTCATATGGGGACGGGTGCGTGCTCATTTCTCAGCTACGAAGTGACTCCAGAAGTGTTTGTATGCAAGTAATTATGTTTACGTATAGATGCATATACATACGTATAGATGCATATGCATACTCTCATGGTTGCTTCTAGCACGCCAAGGTCGATATGACCTGAGCTTCTATCGTCGCGTTGTACTACAACCTACGCAGTCGACGAGAGTATGTGCGATCCGTCAGATGGGAGACTGCATGTCTGTGTATCTGTGGACAACCCGCATTCTTTACCTACCACACCAGAACAACTATGGTTATCGAGCTACACGTACGCCCACATGAGGGCAGTTTCGTCCTGCGGCCCTGTCCTGGAACTTTGAGATTTTGGGCCTTACTGTCCTGAAGTGGGTAATTCCTATGCGTGTCCTTTAAGAGGTGTGTGGATTCTATATGCGTGAGTCATAGACGCCAACACAGCGTTACCGATACTTCGGCCACCAAACAACCCTAAAATCCAATCCAACAGCCCTGACAGCCGCACATGTGTGGTCGTCTGTAGTCGATGTAGTAGTGCTCGATGTTCTCGATGTATTTTAACTGGGTCGTGTATATGTAGTCATGTACCTACACCCCGTTATGTGGGTTTATGGGTCACAACAGACCGGTTATGTTCCTGTAGAGGGCATTCAGGAAGAACCCAAGACCTGCACTTGACCCCACAACGTGAGAGCACGTAACCATGGCAACGCACTGTGCACGGCCAACATGACCACACAGGTCGCCTTATCCACTTAAAGTGATCGGCGCATGCACACGTGCACATAGACGATGGTCGGTACCGTACCCCCACACGCCAGCCATATCCGTGTGTGTGCATATCACACGAGTGCGATACAAACAGAGGTTTCGGGTTTTAGCTCAACGTCTACTGCTAAGATGTCCGTCATCACAACTGCGTGTGATGGATGTGAGGTGTGCGGGTGTAGGGTTTATACCTGCGCCTGTTGTACGGAACCGCAACCAGGCGCTACGGCTGCTTAAAATACTGTACAAAGGTTATACAATATAATATATTGGATGGTTCATCCGTCACTTGTCTATAATGTATGTGTCTGCAAAACGTGCGGAGAGGTGGTGGGGGAAGAAGAAACACGCCCGACGCATACGTTCATTGGGGTTTTTTGCGTATGACTGGCAGATCTTTTCGTAACCAATAGGCGTTGTATCTGACTTACATATATATATATATATTGTGCACTCTCTCACTTTTTCTTTGCGAGAAACCTTAAAACCCTGATCACACCACCGCGCCTCTGTATGAACCAGAATACGATACCTGTGTGGCACGTACCTTAAGGGTTTTAGGGTTTAGCCTAAACTCTAAACCCTACCAACCAACCTGGTGCTGGGTAGGTAGGTATATAGTCCTTCGCCGTATTGCTGGGTTGTTGTTGTTGTATACACGTGAGCCTGTGTGAGCTATCCCTATCCGTGTGGCCGTGGCTTTTGTTAATGGGTGTTCCCCATGTCGTCTACATGCTTGTGCACACACACGTGCACGCTGCTGCAGTGCACGCGCGGAGCATGTGTGTGTGTGTGTGTGTGTGTTCGGTCATGTGTTTGTAGGATGGTTGACTACCTCTGGTGTATACATATCATACGTCTGTATGGTGTTTATCTTAGTGGCTCGTTGCGTATGTATTCCATAACGGCCGCATGTTCTGTATCTAAGCCTAAGTACAGGTATGCATATGCCACAGTTACGTCTGGCATCTAGGAGAGGTTTTGGGGTTCTAGGGTTTTAGGGAGGTTGGGTGGTGGGCGGCTGCTTGCGGTTGTGCTCTGCACGCAGCATGGCATACGTCTCCTTGTTGATTCCAGGGGCCGCTCCTTCAGATGAAATAACACCTGTAGACGAGGAGAAGGCGTGATGCGATCGTATTGAGACAACGAATAAGTCTGAGTATATATATATATATATATATATATATGTATATTTTAAGTGTATATGTAAAGATAGTCACACTTGTGCTCAGACCTATTCCGTGATTCGTTGAGACTAACACAAAAAAGACTCGACTACAACGTCGCACTGTGTGTGCATGCGGGTATACTCCTCTCCTTACAGTAGATGTACGTTCACTACCAGACAATCAGCATACAATAAAAGAACAAAGTATACTTGCGCAAACACGATATGTTTTCACGTCCACTATAGGCACCTAAATAGGTAGGGTTCTAAATATCACGACCGAAATCTTCTCACTCGACCCTATTTGGATGGATCCAAATTTTCTGAAACCCCCGCTACTAACGCCAAAGTATTGTACCTATCTAATTGTGATGCCCAAAAAATCGACTAGGACAGGGCAGAGCAGGACCTATTTAAGGACCAATATCTTCTACTATCACTTACTGGACACTACCGTGGAATTGGTTTTAGGGTTTTAGGGTTTTAGAACCCAGACAAAACAACGCACCTGCTTGCACTAAGACGGAGTGGAACTGCAGACAATCGTTGACGTACTCATTCTCCACTCGGAAGAAGTTCCACACAAAGCGCCTGGGAGAGACAAGGCCACAGGGGGATGGGTTAATGGCATAGAAGACATTTAACGAGGAATCTGAGAGGCAGGGAAGGCGGGTTTTATACTTTTGTTGTTCTATATACGATACCTACCAGGCGATTATCTCGGATTCATGACGGTGTATATATGCGATACACAAGAATATCAGTGTACAGGGTGCAGAAGGATACCTTTACACACCAAGGACTAGCCAGACACTCATGAAATAACCATATGTATATATGTATATATATATAAATATAAATAAAAAATGAATAAAATTATGAATATATATATATTATATACATATATATATATAATATATAATGTATAATGTATAATATAATACAATACAATATATTTATATGTATATATATATATATTATACATATATATATATATATATATATATATATATTATACATATATATATATATATATATATATATATATATATATATATATAGTATATATATTATATA